GTGGATATCTAGTTGTCCTAAAACCATTTGTTGAAAATTTGTCGTTTCTCCATTATATCGTCTTTGCTCCTTTGTAAAAGTTCAGAAGATCAGTCGGTTATAAATGTGGATCTTCTGGGTTCTCTATCGTGTTCTATTGACCTATTTGTCTATCTTTTTGCTGGTACCACCCTTGATTATTGTAGCTTTAAGGTAAGTCTTGAAGATACTAGATAACATCAGCCTTGCCATTTTCTCTTGTTTTTCAATATTCTATTGGCTTTTCTGTTTTGTTTTGTTTTTTAAATATCTCCATATAAACTTTAGAACCAGTTTGTCAGTAAACAATGAATAATAATAACTTGCTGGGATTTTGATTGGGATTGTGTTGAATCTACACTCAAGTGGAGAATAACGGACATCTTTGACGAGATTGAGTGTTCCTATCCATGAAAATGGAATATCTCTCCATTTATTTTCTTCGTTGATTTCTTTCATCATAGTTTTGTAGTTTTCCTTATATAAATATACATATTTCGTTAGACTTATACATATTTCAGTTTTAGAGGTATTAATGTAAACGGAAGTGTGTTTTTAATTTCAAATTTCACTTGTTCATTAATGGTATATGGAAACACAATTGACTTTTATTTATTAGCCTGTATCCTGCAACCTTGCTATAATTGTGAATTGGTTCCAGGAAGTTTCTTTTGTTGATTCTTTTAGATTTTTCTATATAGATGATTATATCAGCTGTGAACAGTTTTATGTCTTCCTTCCCAGTCTGCAAACCTTGTATTTCTTATTCTAGCCTTATTGCATTAGCTTGAACTTCCACAGAATAGTGTTTAAAAGGAGAGGTGAGAGGGGACATTGTTTTGTTCCTAATCTTAGCAGGAAAGGGTCTAGTTTCTTACCATTAAGAATGATGTCAGCTATAGGTTTCTGTAGATGTTCTTTATCAAGTTGAGGAAGTTCCCCTCTATTCCTTGTTTGCTGAGAATTCTTATCATGAGTGGGCATTTGTCAGATACTTTTCCTGAATCTGTTGATATGACCATGTGATTTTTCTTCTTTTACCTGTTGATGTGATGGATTACATTAATTGATTTTCAAATGTTGAAACAGCTTTACATACCGGAAATAAATCCCAATTGGTTTTGGTGTATAATTTTTAATATAGATTACCGAGTTCGATTCGCTAATATTTCATTGAGGATTTTGCACCTATAGTCATGAGGGATATTGCTCTCTAGTTTTCTTTTATTGTAATGTCTTTGGTTTTGGTATTAGGGTAGTGTTGGCCCTGTAGAATGAGTTGGGAAGTACTCCCTCTGCTTCTATCTTCTGGAAGGGTTTATAGAGAACTGGTATCATTTCTTCCTTAAATTCACCAGTGAACACGTCTGGGCCCGGTGTTTTCTGTTTTGGAAAATTATTATTATTTTTTTTTATTTCTCACATAGAGGCCTATTTGGATTATGTATTTCTTCTTGTGTGAGTTTCTGTAGATTGTATCTTTCAAGGAATTGGCCCATTTTATCTAGGTTATCAAAGTGTGGTCATAGAGTTTTTCATAGTATTCCTCTATTATTCTTTCAATGTCCGTGAGATGTGCACTGATGTCCCCTCTTTCATTCCTGATATCAGGAATATGTGTCTTTTCTTTTTTCTTGTTTAGGTTGACTAGAGGTTTATTCATTTTGTTGATCTTTTCAAAGAACATGCTCTTTGTTTCATTACTTTTTCTGCTTACTTTGTATTTAATTTGCTCTTCTTTTACTAGTTTCTTAAAGTGGAAGCATAGATTATTGATTTTAGAATATATATTCAGTGCTATAAATCTCCCTCTACACATTTATTTTGCTATATCCCACAACTTTTGAAGTTATATTATCATTTTTCTTTAGCTCAAAGTACTTTTTTTATTTCCCTTGAGATTTCTTCTTTGACTCATGTGTTATTTAGAAGTATATTGTTTAATTTCCAATATATATTCAGTGCTATAAATCTCCCTCTACACGTTTATTTTGCTATATCCCACAACTTTTGATGTTATATTATCATTTTTCTTTAGCTCAAAGTACTTTTTTCATTTCCCTTGAGATTTCTTCTTTGACCCATGTGTTATTTAGAAGTATATTGTTTAATTTCCAGGTATTTTGTTATTTTTGTTTTATATCTTTTTGTTACTGAATTTTTATAAAAGTGAAAATCCTTGCCTATTCCTGATCTTAGGGAAAAACTATTTCATTTTTTTACCATTAATATAATGGTTTTTCTTGGTTTTGATTTGTATTTTAAAACCACTTTATTGCAGTATGATTGACATGTAAAAAGCTGTACATATTTAGTGTGTATGAAAGTCTAATGTTATTGTAGGTTTTTCATAGGTGCCCTTCATCAGAATGAGGAAGCTCTCCTCTATTTCTAGTTTGTTAAGAGGTTTTTATCATAAATGATATTGAATTTTGTCAAATGCTTTTTCTGCATCGGTTGACATTATCATGTGATTTTCTTTGTTTAGACTTAATATGGTTGTTTGATTTCCAAATATTAAAAACCAGCCTTGCCTTCCCACAATAAACATACTTGGACATGGTGTATTATTCTTTTCACACATTTCACAGAAGTCACGCACATTTCTTCTTCTTTAAAAAATTTTGAATTTTTGCTCGCTAAACAAAAACGTTGGGTTGATGAAACATGTTACTAATTAATGAAGCTATATTAAGTCTCAGCCACTCTGACAGAAAGATGTTCTTGAGTAAACATCATGATGCAGAAATTAATCAGTTAACATCATGATGCTAATCTGAAATATCGAAGGGAAAGGAAGGAGCAGCACGGAAGATTTTACTGAATGTGAAACCCCAATGCTAAAGGATCCCCATAAAAGAAAAGGAGAAGGACATTAATATTTTGGAGCACTTTTTTAAAATGAGGTGTCATTCTTTGTTTTTAAAATAATCTCTTTTTAAATAATTGCGAGCTTACAGAAAAGTTGTCAGAACTACACAGAGAACTCCCGTATCTCCATCGCTCACGTTCCCCAGGTGCTGATTTCACAGCATCTCTGGAGCACCTTTTAACATTTCTATAACAGCATCCACAACCCACAGTAACGATCGATGTCCCTATCTGCATGGCAGTGTATGCTGGGCATTATGTTAGCCACTGCACTTATCTCGCTGTATGTTCACGGCGACCCTCCAAGGCCTCCATTAGTACCCTTGCATCACAGGCGATGCTGTTGAGGCTTTGAAAAGTTCCATAAGCATGCCCAGGCTTTCACTAGCTACGTAGAAGTGGCAGATCCAGACCCAACTGCAAAGCCCATGCTTGTTCCAATATCCATACCAGGGGCCCACTTCTAAGCACTGGGCATTAAAGATACTCGTCACCGACGTTTCCTCGGCGATCCGACCTTTCCCTCACCCCATCTCTTCCATTCCAGGGCCCCTCTTTCTACTGAACGCCGAGGAAATCGCGGAGGAAGTCGGGAACATGTGGAGGACGATCTATAAACTGACCAAGACCTTAGCCGATGTGCCGGCGCCCCGGCGCCTGGCGGAGAACGTGAAAGTCAAGATCGACAAGTTCAAGCAGCACCTCCCCATCCTCACCATCTCCTGCAACCCGGGAATGAAAGACCGGCACTGGCAGCAGGTCCCTGTCACCGTCCTGCGTCCCGGCAGCCCTCTGGGAGGCGGGAACCGTTGCTGGCTCAAGCTTTTCTGTTTGCGGCCCAGGCGGGGCGTAGGGAGGGTGCCAGCCTCTTGGAGGCCTGGAGTGGCTGGGGGAAGGGATGAGCAGCCACCTCTGCACGTGAGCAGGTCGACCCTTCTCTTTAGGGACCCCCGTTGCGTGTGGTTGAGTACCGTTCCAGCCTGTGACCACAGAGGCTCTCTCAGTCTGCTCTGGGTCTTAAAGGGTGATGATGGTGTTGACTTGCTGTGTTCTTGGACCTAGGCTGTGCTGGACAAAAAGTCACACCTCCCCCCGGGGGCCCCTGACAACGCAGATGACTCCCTCTTGGGCTCCCTAAGGTGTGGAACTTCATCGTCTGGCAGGCTATGTGCAGAAATAGTTGTGCATTCTTCTTTCAGCCATTTGAGTCTAAAAATGAGGATGATAAATATCCTCCCTAAAAATAGTTGGGATTTTTATAAAGCAACCAAGTGTGAGGGTGATAAGCATGGTGCGAACACTGGGCAGAAAAAGGAAAACTTCAGTGTGTCTCTATAATAATTATCACATTCGGGGGCCAGCGATGGCCTTGAAATGGCCTCGACCAGGGCATTGCTCCGTGCGCACGTGAGCAGGTCGACCCTTCTCACCTTCTCAGGGGACGTGAGCATCCACAGGCAGACTTGGCCTGGAGTTCTCTCTCGGAACCGTGCACAGGACCGAGGACGTCGTCTCTGGAAGGGCCCAATCTCAGAGCCCACCTGTGACCTTGCGGAGAGAGCGAGCCGAGTGTGGTGGCAGGGAGCACTCTGACCCCCCTGAGGAGACAGAGGTCTCAATTGTGAGACATTCAGGAAGTTCCATACAGGGGAGCTGCTTAGGGTTTCCCAGAAGGCATTGAAACTCGAGATTATGTCAGCGGAGGAGCGGTCACCTGAGTAGACCTTGGTCTTGAGCTGCCCTAGCGGAGGGGCCTGCACAGGGCACTGCCCGCTCGGTGCTGGTGGGCGCCTCCCCCATGGGCCTGGCCTGGCTGGAGCTTTGACCAGTTAGAGAGCTGGGGAGGTTGGGTGGTGCCAGGTCTGTCCAGGAGATGGCACTATAGGAAGTGCCCTCATCGGTGGCATTTAAATGGCACTCTAGGAGGCCTTGAAAAGCCATCCCCTCCTCCTGGCGCTTCCCCTGTGATTCTCACATGTGGGCACTTGTAAAATCCCAGCCGTTTCTACACTGTCATAATCCTCATTTATAGACTCCCGAGATGGACAGGCTGGGAAAAACACGTTCCTTGGAATTAAAATATCACAACAATGATGGCTGAGACATGTTAAGTACCAGTTACGTACCGACTATGTGCATACTTTATGTGGATTTTCTCATTTCATCCTCCCAGCAAGCCTTTGAAGTAGGGACAATTATTATCTCTGTTTCACAGACAGGAAAACTGTCTTAGATTAAGTTGTCACGGGGCAAGTAATAAGGAAGGAGGGAACGGAATCTAGGTCTCGAAAAGGGAGCAAGAAGCAGCAGAGGGGATGGAGTGGGTGGTAGGGGGCAGTCAGCCGCAGGCGAGAGTGGGTTGCAGCCTGGGAAAGCAGCTCCAGGGTAATGAGCCCCTGAACAGGAAGCTCAATGGGCTACGTAGTTAAAGGCGGCTTGAAAAAGACAAAGGGCGCCAGATGCACTCGAGGCTGCCCCCGCTCAGAGCCCCTTCCTGCCTGCATTGTCGATCACACCACAGAACCCCCTGTGCCAGCCCCGGCCGAGGAAGCCCTTCTCTGTCCTGATGCCTCACTCAGGAGATCCATTTGCACAGATTCCGGTTCTGGCACTGGCCTTTGCAGGCTCCACCACCTGTAGTGGGTACAGACTTCACTGCTGCCAGCAAAGGGGGTGCTGCTGTGGTTTAAAATAAGGTGGAAACAAGGTGACATTTGACTTTAGGAAGAAACTGCACAGATGAGGAACAAAGCCAGCCCTCTCCGACAGTGCTGCCCGACTGAAATATAACATGAGCATCTGTGTGAGTTCAAGGTGTCTGGTAGCCGCATTTTGAAAAGTATAAACAGGTGAAATAGGTTTTATGAATAAATGTTATTTAACCAAACACATCCAAAATATTATCATTTCAACAGGCAGTCAATATAAAAATGCTAACGTGATAGCTCACGTTTCTTTAAGTCTTTGAAGCGTGGTGTACTTTGACACTTACGACACCCTTCAGAGCTGGCACAAATCACTTCTCAAGTTCTCAGCTCCACAAGGGGCCAGTGGCTCTGTATTGGACAGCACAGTTCTAGGCTCTTCGAATTGGAAGCACAGATGCTTTGTTAATCTCTATAATTACAAAAGCAGTTTGCGTAATGGAACTACCAATCTGAGTCTTTTTTATGGTCCAAAGACTATGTCATTTAGTCCTAGAGGTGGTCAGTGTGTTGTTCTAAGTTGCACTTTTAGGCGTTTAAGAGAATGAGAGCCAAAGGCTTGCAGGAGCAGATGTGCAGTCTGCACGGCACAGCTCCAACACATGCTGCTTTGTGCACGACGGTGTGAGTTGTACTTTCTAGTGAGTTGTACTTTCTAAAGTTTCGCAGTGGATACTTTGCACAGCCACGGGGAAGGCCTGTGAGAGATGCTGGATGAGAGCTTCACAGTCAGAATTAGATCCAAGTCCCCGCGTGGCCATTTATTAGCTGGATAGTCTTGGACAAGATATTTAATTTCTTTGTCTTAGCTTCCTTATTTGCAAAACAGTAGTAAAGATACATTAGAGCCTTGTCATCTTGTCAGGAGAATGAAATAAGCATCTACCGCTCTTAAAACAGTGCCTGCGACATAGTGAGCCCTCGGTAAATGCTTTTCTCAGTCCTATTACCTCGGAGCTCCTCCAGGTGTCCTCAGAACCCAGGCTGGAAGCCGTTTGGATTCGCTGGCTCACTCAGGCTTCCGCTCCATAAATATTTACGGATGCCTGCTAAATGCAGGCCCCAGGAACAGAACAGAACAGAACACGACTCCCATGTCCCAACATTCAGCGGGGAGCCCTCCCTCCTTTCCAGCACCCTCAGATCACAGAATTGGGGGTCTGCCTGTCATATGTACTCACCACTTCCTCCGCTTAATCCAGCAAACACTGCAGCTTCTGTCACGGGCCAGGCTTTGCACTAGGCCCCGGAGCCATAAACAACAAACCAGACACAGTCCCAGCCACAAAGATATAAGTTTGCATTGTGCCAAGTGCTAGTAGGATACCAGCCCCCAGTAACCCAGATAGCATGCCCTGTGGGCCCTGGGCTGCTCCCCAGTCCTGAGACCTGCTCCCTCCGATTCCACAGCTGCTAACTACAGGCAGCTATTTAAATTTAAATTAAGTGATGTTAAATAAAATGGAAAAATCAGTCTCTTGGGAGGCACTCGCCAGGGTTTCCAGGGCTAACGGCTGACCGCCTGGGGGCTCCAGGAAGGAGCGGTCAGACATAGACCTCTCCATCATGGAAAGTCCAGTGGGCAGCATTCCCTTGAACTGTAAACACTTATTTTCTTCTTTTCTTTGCAGATCAGTGAGCTCGTTGGCTGTGAAATAAAGCCCACGGAAACGACATGTCTCGCAAATATGCTGGAATTCGGGTTCAACAAATTCATTGACAAGTAAGGCTCCTCCCTTCCTTCAGGAGTTTTTCTGTCAAAGTAGCTGTAAGTCCCCACTACGAAATGACTGGTCCCGTAGTGGACTGTTTTTTTGTCCCTCTGGTTTAGTGTGATGACCTAAGACTTTTTAGTAATACCTCCTTTTCTGGGGACTCGCTTACTGGTGAAGCTTTCCTTTCTAGCTGCAGAGTTGATCACAGATTATGACTAGAAAATTGAGTCAGAAATTTTCGTTCAAAGGGAAATTGTTTTTTTAAAAGTTCTTTGAACCAGAGCTCCATGCCCAGCCCTCAGTGACTTCAGGCAAAACAATTGAACTTTCCTGGGCCTCAGTTTCTTGTTCTTTAAACAAACAAACAAAAACAAAAAACCATGAAAAAGAGGGCTCTCCCAGCTCTAAAACTCCCTGAAATGTGATCAAAAGAGCGATCTCTTCGCTTGCTGCCCGCCCTTCTCCAAATGCCCCTGGAGATGGTGAGTGAGAATTTGTACTATTTGAATTGTTGTTTGTATTTCTACACTTCCTTCAGGGATATGGGTGGGCAGATGCTGTGCTGCCTGGACCGGGGACCCCTCGGCAACAGGGTTCAGGTCTAACTTGCACAAAGGGGAGAGGGTGTTCCTCAGGGGGCAGCCTCAGACCAGCAGCATCGACATCACCTGGGAACTTACTAGAAATGTGTGTTCTCAGGCCCCAATCCCAAGCTACTGAATCAGAGATTCTGGGGGTGCGACCTGCAATCTGTCTTTTAGCCAGTCCTCCAAGTCAGCTGTGGCATTGCTGCTGAGCCCTTGAAATGTAGCGATTCTGAACTAGATACAGGCTGGGTTTCAAAGACATTAAGAAAAAAAAAAAGGCTAAATGTCTAATAAATTCTAATATTGATTCTGTGTTGACAGACAATATTAGATATATTGAGTTAAAGAAAATAAGTTATTAAAAGCAATCTTACCTGTTTCGTTTCACCCTTTTTCAAGGTGGCGGTTGGAAACTTTAAATGACTTACATGGCTCCTGTTAGGTTTCTGATGGGCGGGGCTGCTCCCCAGATTCCGATGCATGCCGGAGTCTGGGAACCCCTCCCCCACACGTGGCAGACAGGTCTAATCCAAAGTGCTTCCAGGCCCCCAAAATCTCTCTGCCACCTGAATGCTCCAGTGTTCCCTGTTGACGTGAGAACGTCCAAACCCAGAGAACGTTTTTATGAGAGCTTACTACAGTTCGAATCAAACAGAGAACATGCCTAGAAGCTAGATCTCACCAGCCTCAGAAAAATGCTCCCCAGAGTGACAGTTTGCAGCTTCTTTTATGCATTTGGAATTAAGGAGGGAACATAAGGAAGGTGACTTGAAGGTAGGAGAAAGCAGGGCAGGGATGGGACTACTGGATTCGAGTGAGTGTGGTTTCCCTCAAGGGGTTTGAAAAGAGTCATGTCAGAGGTGCCTTAATCTAGACGCACAGAAAGCATGGCCAGGACCCGCTCACAGCCAAGATGAACCTTCCATGGAGAAGTTACAGGCCGAGGCCGTGACTACCCACCGTGGCCTGCCCAGCTAGGAATTTATGATCAGGTCACCCTGTGAGGTGACTTTCAGCTCCTGGACTTGCCAGATTTATTACAGAGCCCCTTTTCCAACCACACCCCTAATGCCACCATTACTGTCCTTTAAGGGGCAGGCCTAGAGACACTTGCATCTCTACTGAGTCTAGGTTATTTTATTAAGGGGCCTCATTTCCCCCCAAATAAGATGTTCCCAAGAGATACCAGCTGTCAAACATTTATGCCTCACCAAGTGCTTATACGAATTAGCCAACTTACCCATCATGACAACCTAATGTTCTAGCTGATATTATCATTCGCATTTTACAGATGAGGAAATAAATCGATTAGAGAGAAAGTAGCTGGCAGTCTCAGCTAGTAACTGAAACAAAAAAAAAACACAAAACCCAAGATTGGACCCCAGGCTTAGCAAACCATTACCCTTTACTGCCTGAAAAATAAACCCATCTAAAGAGACAGAGACCAAGCAAACACACAGTGACTCAGCCACTCTCCACACCAACCTGCTCAGCTGTGATGAACCCAGAAGCGGCGGTGCCTCGGCCGAGCTGTTTACCTCCGTGTGCCTCAGTCTCCTCTGTCTGCAGAATGGGAAGGAGAACAGTGGCTAGGAGTTAGAGTTGCTAGGAGGATTATGAGATAAGCCCAGTAACCTGAACCGATTTAGCCTCTTCTCAAGCACTACCCCTTAGTGAGGTGTGATGGTCATGGTCCCTTCCCGCCCCCCACCCTTCGATGCCTCTTTAGCACATTGGCTAAGGTCAGACTTTGACAGACCTTGTGGCCTCCCAAGCTGAGTGATTCCTGCCCTGTGCAGTTATTTGCATAATTATAAGTCACAAGGCGTGTTACCAGCATTTTCTCTTATTTAATTCCACCAGCAACCCCTGATATGGGCACATGGGGACCTAAAGACTGTCGGGGGACCTGGTCACGGCCACACAGCCAGCCTCCACATCACACTCACCTGGGTTGGCCCTGCCTTTATTAATTGTTCCTTATTTGCATTCTTATTTTGGTCCTCTCCTAAGAAGGCCATGTTCAGGATGATGGTCATGCTGCTGAGATTCTGTCAGTCATTGTTTGGCATTATCTCTGCTTATCTACCTCCCTGCAGGAGGCTACGTGAGTGTTGTCAGCTCTGTTCAGCTGGCCCTAATTACTCAAACCCTGAAACGATTGTGGTGCCCCTTTTGACAGAGGGAGGGGAGCCGGCACCTAGTGGGGGTGGAGTGGGGGCTCAGAGACACCAGATTAGGCATCAGAGGGTTCGGTGTCTGGACCGGTTCTGGTTCCGGCACTCCCCAGCTACGTGGGAGGCTCTGGACTCTTCACTTACCTCCTCTGGGCTTCAGCTTGCTGACCTGTAAGTAACGACCAGATGGTCTCCTCTGCAGTCAAGGATGCAGCGGAAGAGAATCACCCCTCCTCCTCCTCCTCCTAAGAACTTCGCTTCTCAGTTCTCTGGCCACGCGAAGGTTTAGAACCAGATCTCCACGTGGAAACAAGAAAGGAAGCGATCGGTCTTCCCCTTCTCTCCCTCCCTCCTCCTTTCTGTGGAACAGAGGGTCTATAGACGGGTGATGGGTGAACCCAGCAGCTCAGGAAAATAGGTGTTTTTCTTTAAAAGGTAGGGACAGGAAGTGGAGCAAAAGCCATCACATAAATTAACAGAAGTTCTCAGATCTGAGTAAGAAGTCAGAATAACAATTCTGGAGAAAATAAGGAGCAAACAAAAACAGGAAAAGGAAGTCTTGTTTTAACAGCCTTAAAACAGTGGTTCTCAGCTGAGGACCATTTTCCAACCCCATTTGCAGACATTTTTGATTGCCGTGACTAGCAAGGAGTGGGGATGGGGGAGTCTGCTACTGGCATCTCGTGAATGGAGGCCAGGGATGCCGCTAAACATCCTGCAATGCCCGGGTGGGCCCCCGCGGCATGGAATGGCCCACCCTCTATTAATTTGCTGGGGCTGCTGTAACAAACACTGCAGGCTGGGTGGCTTAAACAACAGAAATTTGTTTTCTCACAATTCTGGAGTCTTGAAGTCCAAGATCAACATAATGGCTAGGTTGGTTTCTTCTGAGGCCCCTCTCTTTCGCTTATAAACAGCTGTCTTCTCCCCGCGTCCCCAGGTGGTCATTCCTCTGTGTGTGTGTGTGTGTGTGTGTGTGTGTGTGCATGCACGTACGTGACCACACGCCACCTTTTCTTTACCAGTCTTGGATTAGGACCCACCCTAGTGACCTCGTTTGAACTTAAGTGCCTCTTTAAAGACCCAATCTACAAATAGGGTGCCCTAATAGTCTGGGTTAGGACTAAAACACATGATTTTGGAGAGACACAATTTGGCCCGTAACACAGCCCCTAAAGTCACCACTGCTGAGGGTAAGACACCCTGCAAATGACTGGCGTCTTAGAGTAGGAGAGTAAACATTTTAGTAAAACGAAGGGCTTCTGCATTTCTCTTAATTTTACTAACGCGTTTTCTGACGCGTTTTCACTGCCGCCTCCCGGGGCTGTCACTGTGTTCTCTTTTTAGACTGGAGCCCATTGGAGCCGCCGCTAGTAAGGAATACTCCCTGGAGAGAAACTTGGAGAAAATGAAGTTAGAATGGGTCAACATGATGTTCACCTTCGTCAAGTACAGGGACACCGTAAGTCTCAGCCGGGTGGCTCGGCCTCCTGAGAGCGGCCCGTTTATTCTGTAGCAGATTACAGAGGGGACTCATTCAGAACCACAGCAGAGCTCGCAGAGGAAGGGTCCCCAGCGCTGTCTTTTCCATTCATTTTTCCTGAGATAATAACGGACGTAGAGCATCGTGTTAATTCACGGCGTGGCGACGTGTGGATTTGACACGTTTACCTGTTGCCGTGTGATTGCCACCGTAGCAGCGTTAGCTGAATCGAGTCACGTCATTGTCATTTCTTTTTTGTGGTGGGAACCATTCAGATCTAGTCTCTTAGCAACTCCGGAGTTTTGAGTACGGTCTGGCTGTCTCTCATCGCTCTGCTGTGCTCAAGACTGTTTCCTGCCCCTGCCTCCCTGTGCCAGCCCTCTCTCCCCTGGGCACCACTGGAGGCGTGCATTTTCAAACGAGAAACGCCTTTTCATTCGGAAAACAAGCTTTCTAGAGCAAAGGAGCTGAGCAAGCCTCCTGAATTAGCATCTCCCAGGGAGGGCTCCCCAAGTCCTTCAGAAGCATACCTAGGGTAAACAATGCTTAGTGCTTCTCAGAAAAAAAAAAAGTCCCAATTCATTCTTTCTTACTCCTCCACTCCCAGAATGCCTGGGCATCTGCATTTGTAAGGCATCCCAGGTGTTTCTAATGTGCAATGCACCTGAGAACTAAAACCCTAGAGGGGCCCCCATATCGCCCTCCCACGGGGTGCATGTTATCTTTTTGTGACTTCTCTCCCTCTCCAGTTTCGATAGTGCGATGCATTGATTTCACTTGAATGGGAACTGTAGATGAGCCAGTGGGAGCGGAGAGAACTAGGGGCCTCCCCCAGCAGGGGCCAGACCTCGCTGCTCCCAGCAGATGGGCGCTGCATGACCTGATTAGTTAGATACTCCTAGAGGTTGTTGGGCTGAGAAGTGAAGGCAGGGGACCTGAGAAAGCTCAGTCACACCTGGCAAGACTTCAGTTTTTGACTGATGCGGCGATAGACAAGGATCACCAGCAAGAGAATCAAGGTACCATTTTATTAAGAGCTAGACCTCTCCCCCCGACACACTCACACTCAGAGCTACTGGGAAAAGGTAGATGAGAGAAAACATTCTATCCTAAACTTAACTGACCAGATATAGGGGTGAAGAAAGTAAAAATGGTAAGAAAGACCAAACCTGCCCTCGTCAGCCTCCTTGCCACGATGGCCTAGGAGGACAAGTGCCATGCACAGGGGCTGACCTTTAACTCACAGAAACCTCAACGATGAGTAAAATATGGCCCAGTAAGTGTATAGGCTGAGGTTCCCAAACTTTCTTGATTCACGGTGCCTTTCCTGTCCTAAGTACTTTTTCATGCTTCCCCTCCCTAGACCAAAAGAAATACCTGACAGCTTTTTTTATGAAGTGATGAGGTTCAAACAATAAGTCTTTACGTCTCATTGCCTTACATTTGTATTTTATTTTTGAATAACCGCAATTATTTGCTGTGAGTATGCTGCAGTGCCCTAGGGTACCTCGGCATACAGTTTGGGGACCACCAATCCAGGCCCAACCAGTCAGGTGAGCAGCTGGTCCTGCCTGAGGGACAGCAGGAGAGCCAGTGGCCGAGAAGGCCAGAGCTGTTCCTCCCCCACAGATACTAGCTGCAGGTCTGGACTTAGGCCATATTTGATTTCTGCAAAGGGACTGGAAAACGTGTCATTTGGAACATTTTCAAGGAAGAAAATAGAAATTCCGTCCCCTGTGAGACATAGATTCCTGTCCGATTGGGGTGGGGATGCGAGCCGTGAGGCCTTTGGGGACCAGCACGAAAAGTGGGGGTCTCATGATCCTGACAGGGCGGGGCGTGTTTATTTGTAGGATACGAGCATCTTGTGCACAGTTGATGAGATTCAGCTGCTACTCGATGATCACGTGATAAAGACCCAGACCATGTGTGGCTCCCCATTCATCAAACCGATAGAAGCAGAGTGCCGGGTAAGAGGAAGTGAGGTCGAGGGCGTGGTGATCTCCAGTTAGCTCTGGGTTTCCAGAGGAGGGAGTAGGTTTTTAAATTCATGTAACAAACAATCTCCTTTTCTCCTGATTGGAAAAATAAATAAATAAATAACACAAGACCGAAAGCAAATAACCATCCCAGTAAGTATATGGAATGCTGAGCCTTTACAGCAGTCTGCCAAAAGCGAATACGAGACGATTTGGATGTACCACATAAAATACATTTGGAATGTGCATGAATATCATCTGGGCTAGAATAAGCTAGAGTCCAAACTGCTTGAGGGTAGGATCTTGGCTTCTGTTGGTCGCTGTTTGTAGAAGTAGCATAGGCTAAGGACGCAGATTGTGAAGCCAGACTGCCTGGGTTCAAAGTCTAGCTCTGCCCGTTATTCCTTAACCGTGGGCAAGCTATTTAAACGGTTATGTCTCAGTTTCCACATTCGTAAAGTGTGATGTGTAATAGTATCTCCATTATAAGTCTATTGGATTGAATTGGTTTCACGCACGTAAAGCCCTCAGCCCATCACTTGTCACAGTAGTATTAGTATTATTGTCATTATTCCATCAGAATGTAAGGTCCAAGAGGGCAGGGACTCATTTGTTTCATTCATTGCTGTATCCACATTGCCTAGAACGGGGACCAGAACATAGGGGGCGCTCACTAGGGATGTGTTAAACGAGGGAAAAAGTGAATAAACGAATGAGTCCGTCCGCTTGCGCCTGCGATGCAGAGTGGCAGGTTAGTGATTCGGAGACAAAATGCTCACTTCGCAGAAGTGGGAAGAAAAGCTGATCCGCATGCAGGAAATTTTGGACGCCTGGCTGAAATGCCAAGCCACCTGGCTGTACCTGGAACCCATCTTCAGTTCAGAGGACATCATAGCACAAATGCCAGAAGAGGGCAGGAAATTCGCCATCGTCGATGCGTCCTGGAAATCGCTCATGTCCCAGGCGGTGAGTTTCACCCCCAGCCCATCTCACCTGCAGGGCCCTGGGGCGCCAGGCAGATGTTCCTTGTTGCACATCGCAGCCGTGCACCTTGAAACTTGTAAGTAAACTAGGTTTTTGCAAACTTGATAGTTATATGGTTTCTTCTAATCTCAAAACTTACTATTGGAAATTCCAAACACGGAATATGTAATATAGAAAGAGGGGGCTTTGGAAACCCCAACTCCCTGGAAGTAACTGCAAGCAGTTTGTGGAATAATTTAGTTCTTATTCCTAATGAGGTAGAAGACTGTTAATGCAGGCTAACGCCATAAAGCTTTCAGATTGAGAGTCTTTTTAGAATGCGAATGATCATCCATACTCAGTTACTCAGTGATTGAACAAAAGCTCATTCAGTACCGACGATGACCCGAACGAACATTGTACTAGAAGTCAGAAAACATTTAAAGATGACTAGAATATGATTTCTGCCTTCACAGAATTCACTGTCTTGTGAGGACCAGCTTAGATACAGAAGAGTTATTATAGTAGAAATATTATATACAAAAAGTTTTCAGAACACAGGAGAATGATTGTTGCCTGGGAGTGTGTCAAGGAAGGCCTCCAAAAGGGGTGACATTGAAACTAGGCCTCGAAGGACGAGTTCACTGGGTGTACAAGACATCCAGGTGCATCTATTAAGACATGATACCTTTTTACTTTTCAAAGTCAAGCGTGCTCAGATTGGGACACATTTATAAATAATTACTCTCAAGAGAACTTATCTCCCCTGGTCATTTGCAGGAATTAGATAAGTGGGAAATTATATTGCCCAGTTTTCATGATATCCCGCTTCTTCCAACTCTATATTCGTTAAGAGTTTTGGTTGCAAGTGACAGAAACCCATTCAAAGGAGCTCAAACGAAAAGACCAAATGGGTGTCTCAGGGAACCGAAGGGCAGAATGTGCATGAAGGCTGGCTCTAGGACCCAGAAATCTCTCGGGAACTCCCAGGCTGTTCTCCCCACACCTGCTTCCCTCTCTGTCTGGAGACTGGCTTGCTCTGCCACCCGGACACATAATGGAAGCCGATCGTCACACGGCAGCAAAGCCCCCTCCTTCAAGGCCGGCCCGGACTGGTATAGAGTATCCTGGTCTGAATTCCAAAGTCCCAGAAGTCGGTTGCAGGGGCCTCACCCTGTCCCAGTCAACCATAGCAGGGGGACAGGGTCACGATATAGGAGCATTCACCCTCATGGGACTGGGAGTGGGGTTGGGAGATACACCTGGGCATGGCATCGCTGGTCACGGGGCTGGTCACACACTCATACGATGACCAGTCTCGGAATCTAGGAACCCCTCGGAATCTGGGAACCCGTGACGAGTCTCACCTTTGTTGATGGCACCCAGGTGAAAGATGCCAGAGTCTTGATGGCAGCAGACCAGCCACGGATGGCTGAGAAGCTTCAGGAGGCCAACATTCTGCTGGAGGACATCCAGAGGGGGTTGAACGATTACTTGGAAAAGAAGAGACTGTTTTTCCCCAGGTATTTAGTACCGTCTTTTTGTTTGGAGTTGTCCTCTTTGCCCCATCCAGGTAGTCTTTGCCTACTGAGCGTTGGCTTCTACTGACCTATTTACTCTCCATTCTGTCCTGGGTTTCCATTTCCTGAGAGACAGCTCTCAGGGGCAAGGCGTGTGTTCCACAGTTATTATTTAGCGTGAGCTTGAGTGGACAGCGGTGGGGACCAGACCCACACTTTGGCCAAACCAACATGGTCGAACACCCAGGCAGAGCAGGCAGCAGTCGTAATCAAGAGCTTGGGCTTCGGAGCTAAACACACCTCGGCTGCAGTCCCAGCTCTTCCATTTATTGATCTCGCGACCTTCGGCAAAGCTATCCAAGTCTTGGGTTCTCCGCTGTAAAACAGAGATAGAATAACGTCCCTTACCTGGTATATTTACTGTCCAGATCAAATGAGATCGTGCATGCAAAGCGTTTAAGCGCCTAGACTCTGTGCTTAAGAAATGTCGGCTCAGGGTTTTGTCATCGCATTTTGTAGTTTCTGGTAGGTACGTTTATACATATTGGACTCTTTTTTTTTTTTCACGAGAACCAATGCTCTTCTGCATAAAAGTCGAGGCAGAGGGCTAGTTCCAGAAAGGAAGACCCTCACTCCTGATACCCTGTCTAGTGACGGTGCACGGTCACGCCATGTCATTTGGTTTTAGTTAGGATGTAGATTTGTTCCCAATTTGCCTTTAAGAAAAGAACATTTTAGTGTTCCCTTACATGGAGACGCAGGTGGTTCTCTGCTTTACACACGCACATACACACACACACACACACACACACACACACATTGTTGTTTGGGATTCAGAAAAGTCCTTGCTATATATTTAGTGCAGCGTTGTCGAATAGAGCTTTCAGTAGCCATCAGCCACCATGGCCGTCTAGTGCTTTAAATGTAGCTAGTGTGACTGAGAAAGGCAATTTTTAATTTATTTAGTATAAATTTTTTAATATAAATAGCCACAGGTGGCCAGCTAATGGCTTTGGTGTTGGACAACACAGATATAGGACAAAATGAGGACGGAGCCTTGATTTGGAAGCACGAAACTTGGGAAGAGGAAAATTCTGAGATTTGGGCTTCTAGTTCTGTGCCCACAACTGTTATTCCTAATAAAATATGAATAACAGCCAGCACCGACGCGGCGTTTACCGCATGCCAGGACTCCGCTTACGTGCTTTACACGCCTTAACTTATTTAACCCTTACAGTGATCCTGTGAGGTTGGGAGCATTGTTTTCATCCCTATTTTACAAATGAGGAAAGTATAACTTGCCAAAAAGCACAAAACTGGTAAGTGGATAGCTAGAATTCAGATCTAGGTGGTCCGGAAAGGATCAGTTATTTAACCTCTCTGAGCCTCATTTTCCCCCTAAGTTACACACACACACACACACACACACACACACACACACACACAGAAATATCTCAATATTTCTTATGCTTTTTATTTTTTTATTTATTTTTTATTTTTCAGTTTCAGTTGACATCCAACATTATTTTTATTAGTTTCAGATATAGAGCACAGTAGTCAGTCATCCATATAATTTATGAAGTGATCCCCCAATAAGTCTAGTACCCCTCTGGTACCAAACAGAGTTGTTACAATATTATCGACTATATTCCTTATGTTGTACTTTACATCCCTGTGACTATTTTGTAAATACAAATTTGTACTTATTAATTCTGTCCCCTTTCTTACCCAGCCACCCAACCCCCCTCCCATCTGGCAACCATCAATTTGTTCTCTGTGTCCAAAATCTGTTTCTGTTTTGTTTGTTCATGTATTTTGTTCTTTAGATTCCAAATATAAGTGAAATCATATGGTATTTGTCTTCCTCTACCTGACTTATTTCACTTAGCTTAATATCCTCTAGGTCCATCCATGTTGTTACAAATGGTAAGATTGCATTTTTTATGGCTGAGTAATATTCCACTATACATATGTGCCACTTCTTTGTCCTGTCATCTATTGATGGGCACTTAGGTTGCTTCTATATCTTGGCTATTGCGAATAGCACTGCGATAAACATGAGTGCATATATCTTTTCAAATTAGTGTTTTGGATTTCTTTGAATAAATAGCCAGAAGTGGAATGGCTGGGTCATAAGGTAGTTTTATTTTTAATTTTATGAGGAACCTCCATACTGTTTTCCATAAAGACTGCACCTATTTGCAATCCCACCAACAGTAATGAGGGTTCCCTTTTCCCCACGTCCTCACCAACACTTGTTGTTTGTTGACTTATTGATGACAGCCATTCTGACAGGTGCAAGGTGACATCTCATTGTGGTTTTAATTTGCATTTTCTGGTGATTAGTGACTTTGAGCATCTTTTCAAATGTCTATTGGACATCTGTATGTCCTCCTGGAGAAATGTCTGTTCAGGTCCTCTGCCCATATTTTATTGGATTGTTTGAATTTTTAGTGTTGAGTTGTATGAATTCTTTATAAATTTTGGTTATTAACCCCTTATCGGATGCATCATTGGCAAATATCTTCTCCTATTCAGTAGGTTGTCTTTTTGTTTTGTTGATGATTCCCATTGCTGGGCAAAAACTTTTTAGTTTCATGTAGTCCTGTTTGTTTATTTTTTCTTTCGTTTTCCTTGCCCCAGGAGACATATCAGAAAAAAATATTACTAAGAGCAAAGTCATAGAGTTTACTGCCTATATTTTCTTCTAGAAACGTTATGATTTTGGATCTTGCATTCAAGTCTTTAATTCATTTTGAGTTTATTCTTGTACATGATGTAAAATGGTGGTCTAGTTTTATTTTTTGCGTGTATCTATCTGTCTAGTTTAACCAACACCATTTGTTGAATAGACTGTCTTTACCCCACTGTATATTCTTGTCTTCTTTGTCATAGATTAATTGACCACATAGGTGTGGGTTTATTTCTGGGCTCTCTATTCTGTTCCGTTGATCTATGTGTCTTTTTATGGCAGTACCATGCTGTTTTGTTTACTATAGCTTCGTAGTGTGGTTTGATATCAGGTAGTGTGATACCTCCAATTTTATTCTTCTTTCTCAATATCACCGTGGATAATTAGGGTCTTGTGTGGTTCCATATAAATTTTAGGATTATTTGTTTTAGTTCTGTGAAAAATGCCATTCATATTTTGATAGGGTTTGCATTAAATTATAGATTGCTCTGAGTAGTATGGACATTTTAACAATGTTCACTCATCCTGTTCGTGAGCAGAATATATGCTTCCATTTATTTGTATCTTCTTCAGTGTCTTTTAATTTTCTAAGTATGGGCCTTTTATCTCCTTGGTTAAATTTATTATTTGGTATTTTTTTGATGCAATTGTAATTGGGATTGTTTTCTTAATTTCTTTTTTCTGATAGTTCATCATTGGTGTATAAAAATGCAACTGATTTCTGAGTATTAATTTTATAGCCTGCTACTTTACTGAGTTAATTTATCAGTTCTAATATTTTTTGGTGGAATCTTCAGAGTTGTCTCTATATAGTATTTTGTCATCTGCAAATAGTGACAATTTTACTTCTTTATTTCTCATTGGATGCATTTTAGTTATTTTTCTTATCTGATATCTGTGGCTTCTTTAAGCTTTTATATGGGATAAAATTAAGTACTTTGAGCAAACACTTTGAAAATGTTATTAATGGTCACATATTTTAAATTAATTTTATCTTGAAACTACAGAGTACTAAATAATGATTTTAACTTTAAGTTGTACAGATACATTAAGTATTACTCTTACGACTATTGAGCATTATTCATTATCACATGCAATGAATTCATAGTGATCACCTGTTTGAATTTCACTTGAGAATGTGAGAAATTGACATCCTCATTAGATATTGGATAGTTAGTCACCCGACTAATACTTATTGAGCTCTTCCTACATGCTCAACATTGCAGCTACAGTGTATTAGTTTGCTTTGCTGTGTAACAAACCACCCCCAAACTTTAAAGCGTGAAATAGCAATTATTTATTTATCTCACAATTCTATGGGTTGGCAAATTGGGCTGGGGTCAGCTGGTTGGTACTTCTGGTCTTCTCAGGGCCCACTCAGGGGACCACAGTCAGCTGGCAGTCTGTGGCCTCAGTCACTTGTATGGTGATGGGCTTTCTGGTGGCTGGGGCAGCAGGGGTAGTTGGGCCACACGTT